CTGGAGAGTCTCACACTGCTCTGTCAGTGTCAGTGGAGTCTGATTATAATCTCAGTTAATCACTAATCAAGATCACAGTACAGTCAGTCCAGTCCAGTCTGGAGAGTCTCACACTGCTCTGTCAGTGTGAGTGGAGTCTGATTATAATCTCAGTTAATAACTGATCAAGATCACAGTCCAGTCAGTCCAGTCCAGCCTGGAGTGTCTCACACTGCTCTGTCAGTGGAGTCTGATTATAATCTCAGTTAATAACTAATCAAGATCACAGTAAAGTCAGTCCAGTCCAGTCTGGAGAGTCTCACATTGCTGTCAGTGTCAGTGGAGTCTGATTATAATCTCAGTTAATCACTAATCAAGATCACAGTACAGTCAGTCCAGTCCAGTCTGGAGAGTCTCACATTGCTGTCAGTGTCAGTGATTATGATCTCAGCTACTAACTAATCAAGATCACAGTAAAATCAGTATCAGTTCATAAAAAGAATGAATGCATTAAAAGAGTATACAGGTATTTCTACCTTTCTGAAGAGTTTAAATTGAACTCATCTGTTGTTTTACGGCGGTACGATTATTATTATTATTATTATTATTGTTGTTGAAGTAGCTGCATAATAGAATCGTTGTTTTTAATATAACTGCATGTCTATCATCGCAGTAACTTGGACTCGTCTCTTTAACAAACCATAAGTAATATCAGTACATACCAAAATACACAGGCAAATACCGACACACCAGTGCACCTTGAAACTATTCAGGCAATAATCGGGCACCCCAGCTCGGGGCCTCACTGGCCGTTTCCATGTGCCTTGTGGGATTGTAGTTTATTTTAGATCGTAGACTAAACAAATAAATTGTGAATTCAGATCGCAGTTGCGCCTACAATCTCGGGGGCGTGTTGTTTCGCTCTCGCAATATGCTTTGAAAAAAAAAACATTTTTAAAAATTACATTTGGGCTTTACCGTTTTAATGCCGACCTTAAACTACAGTTCCCAACAGGAATCGCGCCTCCAACATTTCTACTTCCGTCTCACGGAGCCTCCGCATCGCGGGGCCTTCTGGTCAATGTAGTTTGCGCCGGTGGGATTAATGGAGCTTTACGGCGGAGAGGAATGGCACGGAAATGTGTACGAACTGAACGGGTTCATTGAGGCATAGAGGCCAGTTATTCGAGCTATCGGTGCCGTCCATATCCCCCTGACACGTGAAGCGCAAGGTGTCGGGAGAAAGGAGAACGGAAACACCGATATGGAAAGGAAAATTATATATATATACATGGGATGTTATCATAGGAACGTACATACTCTGTATGACTCCAGAGGCACACGGAGACTCGCTTTACCACCGCAGGCTTCGTTTAAATAAAACGTTTTCTCGTGCGTCTCCAAACAGAGAAGCTGGGGAAAAAAAAAAAAAACAACCACTTGTGCCCACGATTTAATTTCCCCTCCCCTCCATAGCCAGAGCAGATCCGCGTTCGCCTTTTCCGACAGCTCCCCGCCGGTATCGCGCAGAGCTGGGGGGACGTACCTCGGTCTCTCCGGCGGCAGCTCGGCGGCTGCTTTCCAGAGTCGCCCAGACTTGAGCCCAAGCGGGGTCTTTTTCTTTTTTTTTTTTAATTCCGGCGTTTTTTTTTTCTTGCCTGCGCCTCGGGAGCTGGGGCACTTTAATGGGAGGTGTCGGGAGGGGGCGAGGGGGGCGTGAGGTGTGAGGTGGGGAGGCGGCCGCACTGGGGAGCTGTCGTCTGTTTACTACGACAGAGAGGGGAAAGACGGGAGAAAGAGAGAGAGAGAAAAAAGTTTTCAGTAGGTTTTAAAGAGCAAGAGGAAGCGTGCGGGTTGAACCGCCGACCATGCAGGTAACTGGGCTCCCGTTGCGCTGCCGCTAATTAAACCAGAATAGCGCCGCTCCTAAAACCGGGGGAGTCCGACGGATCCTGCTTGCGCCGTGCAGCCGCCGGGAGACCATGAGCGCCGGACCCGAAAACGTAAATTTGGACGTGTGTATTTCGGTGCGTGTGTGTGCGTTT